AAAGTTCTCAAAAACTATTTTATGAGATATCTATTACCTGATCCCAAAGGACCAAAACATAAGTTTCCACAATAGGTCATGTTAGTTTATATCAAAAGAATAATGATGAGTCAGCAAACCAAGCAGTTCTAGCCATAATGATAACCTTATTCTCATTTTTATTGACTTCCTGGAGATTGAGCAGTGGCATCCTCCAGAGATGGAGGACACTTCTTTGGATGGTTTTAGACTAGAGAGACTATCATCAGATTGTTGAGCCACAGCTTTCTAACGTCAGTTTTGTTTCATGATAGGCACTATTCATAGACTTTCTGTAGTTCCTAACTACACAAAAATTATCCTGAATGTCTAAATATAAAGCCACAAGAGGATTCACCATCTATAAGGGAACACTTTTGTTCTCCAAAAGTTTAAAGGCAGGTCTGTTATTTTCAGGGTGTTTCCTCTCTGCTTTATTTGATCGTGGCTGCAATCTTGGAAGTTTTTTGTTAGCTTATAGAAGAAACTTCTCAGCCTTTAAAGAAGCCAGGGAAGATAACAGTGTCAGAAAAAACAAAAATATATGTGTTTCTAATACAGGTTAAAATCAGTAAGTCTCCATCATTAACCAGAAAAAAAAAAATCTTACAAGTTCACCCCTTCTTCCTGCTTCACCTTCTTCACCAGAGGCACCCTAAAAGTTAAAATCAGAGGTCACATTTTTTAATTCTTAATCCCATGGCTCAATTTGAACCATTCAACCATTAGTTGAATGGTTGGTTCAACCAATTTCAACCACTGAACCATAAGTGCCCACAGTGTTCCCAGGATCGTGAAGAAATACAAAAATGCTCTCAGCGGCTTTCCAATCTAGCTGTCAGTGGCCAGTCCCACTCAGAAAATAGCCTAGAGAAAAGCCAGAAGGTGAGGTTGAGTTTCAGCTGAAATGAAGGATTAATGACATATCTAGCAAGTTTATAATGAGGTTACCATTGAAAGAGAGCTCTTACAGTAGAATAAGGAACCCAGGGAAAGGACTGAGTCTAATTCGCATATACAATTTATTTGCTGAGGCCTTGATCAAGAAAAACTTAAAACATTCTGGTGTGGGTATGGAAGGCTCCATCAGACACGAGTCAACCAATTTGGTTAACCAGAGAGACAGGGCCACTTCTTCAAAGGAAGATCAGTGTGCAGTCCTGGAGGCAGAGCTATCATTAGCTCCAGCTTACTAACATAGTAGATAAAGCTACAGACCAATCTCAATTCTTGGTGTCACTCACCATGAAGCACACTGAGAAAAACTTTTGGGCTCCATGGTTTTAATCACACCCATAAAGCAACCAGTCCTCCCTGCTTGTGAAGTGGTGCATACCAAACACTGCATTTCATACTGATCAAATAACAGGACTTACCTGTTCACCCTTTGGACCAGGTTCACCAACTACACCCTGTAATGAATAAAATATAACATTTTCTCAGTATTTTGAGCTGTT